ATTTATTATTGTTCAGTGTTCATTTTCGTGGTAATGTTCAGTGTTCATTTCCGAAGTAATGTTCAGTGTTCATTTCCGTGGTAATGTTAAGAATTATAACTATCATGTGGGTGTATGTTGTACAATATTGTTGTGTATTGAAACGTGTATTAAATGTATGATACATTTGATCTTACAAACCCTGTTTTCATTAAAGTCTGATCAGTTTACAGATCATTCCTCCGGCCATGTTTTGTCACAGGTTCGGTGAGGTTTTATTTCGAATTACGCTCTGTCTATTCATCGGTATTCTACGGAGCCCGTTAACTGACATGCTCCATACTTATTTTATTTCGTTTTTTCGAAATAATAATTCGTTTTTTCGAAATAATATTTCGTTTTTTCGAAATATTAATTCGTATTTTCGAAATATTATTTCGTTTTTTCGAAATATTATTCGTAAAACGAATTATTATTTCGAAAAAACGAAATAAAATCAGTATGGAGCATGTCAGTTAACGGGCTCCGTAGTATTCTCATAATTCTATAATAACATTTACTGTATCATCTTTTGGTTAACTCATTCCACAATTTACTATCTTACACTTATTTTTGAGAATACTATGAAATCCAACCCTTACGAATAGGTAATGAGAAATGGGGAAACAACAAGCAGCCAGGGACGACGAATTTACAGACTGGTCATCGGATGGTGTTATTTTATATGGGACGACGGTCAAAGTTCTTTCCATCACATCTAGTCGACAGGCAGCATTACTAACCGATGGGTAAAAAAATAGTGCACTTCCGTCATACTACAGAAGCTTATACGGGACATCACATAAATAGTATCTCTCTTGTGAGTGTCCAATTTGAAATGAGTCAAGATAGAGGGGTGTTATTTTTTATCAAAGAAATAAAACTGAAATAGTGAGGCATGTTATTTACATGTTGGCCCCTGAAAGCTTCTGTAGTATACCACAACACATCAAATCCTACCGAACTGGAATGAATATTAACATTTATAAGTTAAATGATAATGAGTTAATAACACTATAAAAACACATATAGAATCTATATTTAAGCCAATACAAAAATATTTTTCATAGTATTCTTTCCACCTGTAGAAAAGTATATATAAAGAACATCTGTGATATTACTTATATCTTAAATAAGATTTGTTATTAATTATACAGACTTATATCAGAATTGCAAGTTTTACACACCAAAACTTACAGATGTGCAATGCGTCAATCTAGAGATGATTGTCCACTGCACATGAATCCTGTTTAATATAGCACGCAGTTCGATGATGATATGTGTTATCACTCCAATGTTAGATCTGCCTATCAAGATGTAATAGACTGTAAAATTCACTAGATTAAAAAAGTGGTAAATTTGTGAAATACATATGTGTAACGTTAGGTATATTCCCCAAATGATCAGAGAGCTAGATATTTACATAACGGTAGGTCTCTGAAATAAGTTAAATGTTCACACGAAAGCAAGTTTTAAGTCAATTGTACTCATATAGCTGGGAACATTATCAACATCACTGGTGTAGATAACAACGACAAGTCTATGAGCTAGGTACAAGATACAAGAATATTAACTAAAGTCACACTTCTTGTACAGTCAGCACGGTAAAGACAAACCATAACAAGTCAAACAAATATTTACAGCATAGACATGCAAACCTGAAGACGTGAAACAGACATAATTATAAGATCTGTATTAAACCGAAACTTGAGCAACCTATCTATAAAGAATACAAAGAACGCATGACGAAGTGACATCCACAGTATATAGGATGTTTGATCACAGCATGTTAGTATACTACAGCAAAGATATTAAATATCAATGAAACTATCACTTATGCATAAATAAATAAATGAATAAATGAATAAATAAATAAATAAATATATAAATAAATAAATAGATAAATAAATAAAAATAAAGAAATTGATTAATTAATTAATATTACACTAAAAAGCAAAACCGAAAAGCCAAACACAAATATAGAAACCATATAATTTGAACGTGTAGAATGGACCATCCCAGGCGTGCAATATCCGGAATACTTTATCTTCTACATCTAATATCAGGTGCCAGACGATTACCAACTTTGTACATTTCACATCGCTTTGATGTTTCAATATTTTCTCTGTTGAGATTAGCAATTATTGGTAAATGTGTAAAGAATGTCATGCCAAGGACAATTTTGATAGTAGATTTGAAAAAAAACACCTTTTCCTTGCTTTGTTGTCGAAACTTTACAACCGATTACATCGATACTGAAAATGGTCTGTACTCGCCATTGTAACGAATACAGATGATCTAGACTAGTTACTCCCCTTTACAAACCATCTTATTTCTTGAAGGTAGAATAATATCCGACGTAAACGCGGGAAACAATTCTCAAAACAACAAACCATACATATAGACTACCAACAGGCTTTAGGCCTAATTTACTTCTCCTACACAGATCTCAATGAGCACAGCTACCGGTGAGGTAAATTTCGTCTTTATTTCGTTAAATCACCCCAGCAAAGTGAAGAAGAAATCATAATAGGTAAACAGCCGAATAAGCCGCGAGAGCTACTGAATTGTCCGTTGGCGATTCTCACGAGAAATTTATATACAGTGCAGAAATTAACAATTTCACTACAAGAATACATATACCTAAATAGATTTAGGTCTTTGAATCTACGTATTTTTTGAACACCAGTCGTTTCAATTCGCTGCACAAGCTATACATGGTTTGATAATTAGTTACGTGATTATTACAGAAGGATTCAAAAGTAATGCACCGTTCCTTATCATGAAGTTTCCCTTTTGTTTTATAACAACATTGGCAAAAGATATAGATCTAAATCTGGGAGAACAGATGAGTGAAGGAATATTTCGAATTCACTAGTATATTGTATTACAATATATCACAGGTAGTTGGTGTTAAAAATACAAGTGTGAAAGGAGCGGGTTAGTGTAGCAGTTTTATAGTTACTCAAAATTTATGATAGGCATTGCATTCGGTGCAATAATGTCAGATAATAAAACGGCAGCCTTTAATGTTATAGGAGTAGTTCATAGCGTAAATACGGTCTTTTTTCGCTCAGCTGATGGGTCAGTGTAACTGGTTTATAGTGTTAGATACTGTCTATGTCACTCAGCTGACAGCATACTTCTTTGGCACAGTTGGTAGATCATCTAGAGCTTGGTGATGCAACAGACCTGGTTCAGTTTCTATTCAGGGCACTCAACAGGAAGGTGTGTTTTCTCAGTGTACTTTCACATATTTATTATATAGCTTCCATTTAATAAGAGGCTATCAAATAAATATATACAGTATATAATTTCTAACCCCAAGCACCTTTGTATCAATTGGACAGATTACCTTACGATGTTGGAAAAGTGTATAAAACAAGTCAGAGCCTATTAATAGGAAAATATGTATATTAATTGTAAAATGTTAATTTGAGTTATTGCGATACCAGTTGTTTTGGCACCCAGTTTCGGTCCTTACAAAAGGTTCTGGCACTTTGCTAGATGGCTTACACTTTTGGAGTGTCATTTTGAGTGAATAGTTTTTAAGTAACGGAATGAGCAATATTTATTAATGACAAAGCACCTTAAAAAACATGAATTTAATACATTAAATCAAAACATTTTAAAAATACCGAAACAACTTATTTTGGAAGTACAAAAACAACCTGGGACCGAAGTGACTTGCCCATCAGGGACCACATAGACATATATTGGAGGGATAGGCCACTTATATACAGCTACAGGTATATCTGTTTGTAACACTACAGCAAATAGATTTGTGTTAACAGAATATATATGTTATGTATATACATTTATAGATATCTAACCGTGTAGGAATACAAGTTATTCTTTTCATAAAATCAACAGCAACATCAGGAATAAAGATGATTGTGTTTTTGTTCACTATTTCAGAATGCTAAAATCCTGAAGGAAAGGGGACCAGTTTTAGTTTTAAAGAAAGCCACAAGTCAACAACTAAAAAGTTATATGCCCGAAGTTACAGTATGCAGCTAAATGTAAGATGTCTTCTCTTGCTAGAGGCAGCATTCATGATCATCTACAAATATAAACTGCAATTGCAATTGCGAAAGAAAATAACATTGAAAAATGTAATAACTTGAACAATATCCCAGGTCATGGGCAGTTATATTCAAACCTTCAAATGACTTATTCTGATTAATGACTAAAAACAAGAACCAGCATCCATTCAGTGTTGATAAGGAAAATTTTCTAGGTCCCAGAAGGATACCAAATAGTATCTAGTAAGCTCTTTAGGAGTAGATTAAAATCAAGTTACAAGAAAAAGTAGCAACTCCTGAGACCAAGTTTTCCTTGATTTTCTGATAAAGATAAAAGGCCATGAATCTTTAGTGTGACCGAGGCTCCCTGAAGTCTAGATAATTGACCTTGATCAATATTTAGTCACATGGGCCAAGTATGTTAAAACCTTCAAATGGCTTATTTTTTTATAAACAAATTGAACATCAGTGATATGACATATTAATGTGTTTGTGAATAGAATTTAATAACTGGTGAATGATGCAAGTTTTTTTTTTTTTTTTGAAAAGGCAAATAATGAAGTTTTAATTGGATAATGAAAATCAAATTACATCATGTTTTTTTTTTTTTTTTGAAGACTAAATATTTGAACTTGTGCATTGGTATGGTGCATTCTTTCTGAATAACTTTTATTTTCAAGACAAGATATTCATATCTTTATTTTAGAAGTGGAGTCTTACCAACACCAACCATTGAATAGTAGAATATATTCTAGCCAGCTTGTGATACAGTACAGATTCCTGTACCAGGCTGTTAGTTTTGTTCTGTGTTACACTATAAGATTACATCATGGAAGACAGGGTATCCAGGTCTATATTGATACACTGAAGTGTGTGTTAACTTTTCTGTGTTTCCTTTTCTAGGAAATGTGACTTCAACGTGGACCATCAGCTATAGAGACTATATCATTTTACATACTTGATGCATTTAACTGAAAAAGAATCGAAAGATTGATTTAAAATGAAACAGAAACAGAATAAATTAAAAACGAACAAAGCTCCTAGTGACGACATCTTGGACATTGCAAAGTCATCCCTGGAGAGGACCTGTGATCTGCTGCGTCACCGAGTTTCCCAGTTGTCCACTCCACCAGAGGTCCATGGATATCAGACAGAAAGAAGGTACAGTCATCAGTGATAATTTTTATGCGAGTTCTAAATCCTGAAGTCATAGAATTTCGAGCGGACTCTATCAAAGAATTTCTAAAACTTTACATGATGGGACCCAATGTTTTTAGCTATAAAGTTTAAAAAGGATTATTTAATTAATTTGTAAATTGATCACATTTTCATTTTGATATTATGGAGCTAATTGTAGTGTCTGCATGTTGTTTACATTCAAATTATTGTGCTTGTGCCTATTGATCATTGCATTACTTTACCAAAAAGTCACAATACACTTACATTTTGATGTCGCCAAATTAAATTACATAAACAAGACCTTTGTATCAATTACAGATTATAAGTAAATTATTGCCTTGCAAAAGTATTAACAAATATTTACATTCACATTTACTGGTTAATTTGTCATTGGTTGGTGTTGGTTAAATCTTCATAAATAGAAATGTTTCTATGTATTATAGTATGCTAGTGATTGATGATTACCATGAAATATTCACAAAATTTTAACAACAGACAGCTGCTGGATTTGATCAGAAGGACTGGTATGACGGGTGAAAGTAACTCTGCCCTGTTGATAGGACCAAGAGGATGTGGCAAATCTATGGTAACACATGTATACAATTTATTGATAAGCAAATTTAGAAAACTATGAAATATCAGATTTGGGTGTGAGATTTGAGACAAGAGTACCTGGATATTTATTAACTCTCTATACCTCTCTGTATCTAAGAGACACATGGATATTTATTAACTCTCTATACCTCTCTGTATCTAAGAGACACATGGATATTTACTTACTCTCTATACCTCTCTGTATCTAAGAGACACATGGATATTTATTTACTCTCTATACCTCTCTGTATCTAAGAGACACATGGATATTTATTTACTCTCTATACCTCTCTGTATCTAAGAGACACATGGATATTTATTTACTCTCTATACCTCTCTGTATCTAAGAGACAAAACACTTTTATTCTTTTACCATTTTGTATTCAGTGTAATGTTATAAAACACCATCAACATTTATTGATATATAACACTGCCAAAATCTACTGTGTATTGATACAGAACACAATCATTTGTTTACTGAGAATTAAATATTGTAACCCGGGATGTTTCTGTTTTTGTTTTCCTACATGTTCCTCTGTCCAGCTGATAGAAAATGTTGTGGAGGAGCTGATGACCAATCAGGAAATTAGAGATAATCTTCTTCATGTTCGTCTCAATGGTATGTACATGTATTCCAAAATCAATTTGAAAATGTAAATTTAAGTACAGGTGGATGTTTACTGGTCCATGAAATGTCTCTTGAAGTTAGTCATTGATCTTATATCTTCAGAGTCAGGTTTATTTCATACCTTTACTGGAGTATGAAGTGTCAGGGAAACATAAAAACAACATATAGATTTTGACATTATTTTGTGATACAAGTGAAAACATCACACGTCCTCATACAAAGTAAGATCTTTGCGTGCTTTGCAATTTATTGAAGATTACATATTTCTGTTAATGTAATTGCCTGCTCATTGCTTACTATCTTGTTTGATTAATCCTCCTCTGGGAACCAATCGCGAGGACCTTTAACCTTCTTGAACTTTAAAAGTTTGTGCAAGTTCTCTCTCCTACACTACTTGTCTTTTGAATTCATACTTGGGGCATAGGATCACTTAGGTGAGGTGTTGTGTCATGCACCAAAAGTAGGTCACTCTGATCTACATTTTGACATTTGACCAACACCAAAGAAAAAATTTATTCCAGGCTCTACATGTATCTCCTACACTACTTGTCACTGGAAATTAGCTTGAGTGTAGGTTCACTTTCAGTTCATTATTAGCTTGTATTTTTACAATTTGGTTGGGGAATGTTATTTACTGAATTGTCTCTTTCTCCAAGAAATTCATTTAAAACTTTTGAAAGCAACAATATTCAAGGGATGTCTGGTTTAAATTTTGAAATAATGCAGCATGTGAGTGGTCGCTCCAAGGAAAGATTTCAAAAGAAATGGTCAGACAGAATTTCTAAATAAATACACTTCCATTTAACGTGAAAAGTCAGTTGGTATACCTCATAACTGAACTTATGAATTGCAGGCCTATTACAGACCGATGACAAGATTGCTCTGAAAGAGATCACACGACAATTACAGCTGGAGAATACTGTTGGAACTAAAGTATTTGTGAGTGTCATTTTAAAACAGAACAATGTGTAGTTGTTTTTCACTCTATAATAATTACTCATGTTCTCCCACAATCTTGTCACGCCTACCAGTGACAAATCACTTCTGAATTTAATTTAGTATCACTACATCAATGCAAATGTAATAACAGATTTTTGTCATGAATATTTTATAGAAAGATGACAGTTTTTAAAATATTTGAAATAATCTTTCTATATCTTTTCTGAAAGCCTTTCAGTACTTGATCAAATACATGTATGTTCTGCTCTTTGTTACAGGGATCCTTTGCGGAGAATCTTCAGTTTCTACTAGACGCACTGAAGAGCGGTATGTATTGCAGTGTTACCATATAAGATGAGATAATAATCATGGATTTTCATTTTAAAACATTTGTGGATTGAAAAAATAGCATGTTACCTATTGAAAAAACTGCTTATATATTGTCTTCATTAGAACAGTGTGATGAATTTAAGAAAAAATTATAGTAAAGCTTTGTAAATTTGTCCTATTGTTGACTCAGCCTGACATTTGCTTGTGTCCTTGTAGGTAGCCATAGTAGTAAGCCTATTTTGTTTGTCCTGGACGAATTTGACCTGTTTGCTCACCACAAGAACCAGACACTACTGTACAATCTGTTTGATGTAGCACAGTCTGCTCAGGCTCCAGTTTGTGTTATTGGACTCACTTGTAGATTGGTAAGTACTAACATCACCAGTTCCACTATTGGACAAAAATGTTTTTGTATATCAGCCATTAGTTTGTTTGGTACGCTTCATGTAAATTTTCCACTTACAACAGAAATGATATCTTTACAGGATGTTGTTGAGCTGTTAGAGAAGAGAGTGAAGTCACGATTTTCACATCGACAGATTCATCTTTTTCACAACATCACATTGGGAGACTATACTAGTCTCTGCATCACATATCTCAGTCTCCCTGATGATTTCGCGGACAGGAAATTTGTGACAGCTTGGAACAAACATGTACAGGTAGCAACTCCAGTGTATCAGTACACCGTATTAAATTTTGATAACTTTACACAAGTAAAGTCTTAAATGATACAAAAATTGAAATATAACTAAAAGGCTTATTGTAAGAGTCTAGAACACTAGGAGCAATAGAATAACACATCCAGTTAACAATTTTCCTGGAATATCAAGTCATTGTAGCCGCAAGGTCTTATGAGAGTTAATTATCTGTGTGCAAATCATCAAGTTTTTAGGGATAAATAGGATGTTTTAGGAATAAATAAGATGTTTTAGGGATTAATAGGATGTTTTAGGGATTAATAGGATGTTTTAAGGATAAATAGGATGTTTTAGGGATTAATAGGATGTGTTAAGGATTAATAGGGATTAATAAGATGTTTTAAGGATAAATAGGATGTTTTAGGGATAAATAGGATGTTTTAAGGATAAATAGGATGTTTTAGGGATTAATAGGATGATTTAGATTAATAGGATGTTTTAGGGATAAATAGGATGTTTTAAGGATTAATAGGATGTTTTAGGGATTAATAGGATGTTTTAAGGATAAATAGGATGTTTTAGGGATTAATAGGATGTTTTAAGGATTAATAGGATGTTTTAGGGATTAATAGGATGTTTTAAGGATAAATAGGATGTTTTAAGGATAAATAGGATGTTTTAGGGATTAATAGGATGTTTTAGGGATAAATAGGATGTTTTAGGATTAATAGGATGTTTTAAGGATAAATAGGATGTTTTAGGGATAAATAGGATGTTTTAGAGATTAATAGGATGTGTTAAGGATAAATAGGATGTTTTAGGGATTAATAGGATGTTTTAAGGATAAATAGGATGTTTTAGGGATTAATAGGATGTTTTAGAGATTAATAGGCTGTGTTAAGGATAAATAGGATGTTTTAGGGATTAATAGGATGTTTTAAGGATAAATAGGATTTAGGGATAAATAGGATGTTTTAAGGATAAATAGGATGTTTTAAGGATAAATAGGATGTTTTAGGGATTAATAGGATGTTTTAAGGATAAATAGGATGTTTTAGGGATTAATAGGATGTTTTAGGGATAATAGGATGTTTTAGGGATTAATAGGATGTTTTAGGGATAAATAGGATGTTTTAAGGATAAATAGGGAGAAGGATTTTATAGATTTTGTAACTTATACTTGAAAATCTTTTTGCCAATGTCTTCTGAAACAAGATAGCTATTACAATATTAAGATACCCCACTTCCTTGAACCACCATTACTTGAATACATCCAGTTTGTTACATTGATTGTTTGGTCCTGATAGAATGAAAAATGTGTTACGGTACCAAATATGATGAAAACTTTGTTAAATGTTTCTTGCAATATAGAAATCGTAAAGTTGATTATGAAGACGGTAATTTTATTACAGTGGTGTCTGAGGCCACGGCGCCAGTAAAATGATAAACGTGTTACATTTCATAAGTTGAGACTAGAGTTGAGATATTCTTGCTCGGGCAAAAGCCTGAGCAAGGGGGGTCCTGCCAGTGGAGACTAGCCTCTCTCCAGTCTGGCAGTCAGGAACCGATACAAACTGGCTAGAAAAGTGGTCGTATTTATACTAGTCATGTTAATAAACTGATTAAGTACTATTACACATTAGGATTGAGTAATATTTGAGTTATGGACATGGTCTTACACACATAAATCGCAATAGGTAAGGTTACACTGACCTTCATACAAACTGCTTAGATAGGCTGCAGGTAATGACTTACATAATCAGGGAACAAATTAATACATGAAAATTTGTGGTAGATTAACAATGACAGAATGCCTCTGGCCACTGGTCAATATATAATTGTTCACAGTAGATGTCAGTACTAAATTAACAAAGGCAGATACATTATGATGAAATATCTGACTTACGTCTAGCACCATTTTGAATGATTTAATCTTACATGTTAACTTTTAATAGTTCACTGACCATGTCCTTGTTATTGAACCTCAGATTCCCAAAACTATTATTCCTCAAATATCACTCATTCCTTAAACTCATTTTTATCTTCATCCCATAACTGTCAATAGTAATTCTCCCTTTGTTCTTCAAACAGGTGTCACGTCCACCAAACTTTACCTGTGTAACACCAGACTGTGTGCTAGTTTTGCTACTATTTGCTACTATTTGCTACTTTTGCTACTATTTGCTACCATTTGCTGCCTAAGATGATTATTATATCAGGACATTTCATATTTTGTATTTAAATGGCTGTAGTGAAAAAATCATCCGCTGTTCAAACAGAACTTTGTTAATTAGTGGAAAACGAAAATTACGAAACGGCACATATTTCACGGGAGGGTACGAGATGATGTAGCCAACATGATTCTCCGCATGCTTTTACTGATTTGTTTAACAGATCAGATTGATTTCATAAAACATTGAACAATAAGAAAATTGAGTCTACATTGCATAACCATCTGAAATTATTTAGATTAGATAATACAAAAGTGTTCATTACTCTGTTTTTAGCATCATGCTTTCTGCATGTGACACTTTGCTATAAATGGCAAAATTTTACTTACTGCTCCTTGACAAAAATTAAAACTAAACTAAAATTACCTTGTCAAACAAAAAAGTACAATGACCATTAATTAGACTGACCAAAGAATAAAGTATTGAAAGTGTCATTCACAGACACAAATCATTCACAGATGACTGCTTTCTGAGGGTCTACTTGAATGCATCATATTCCTCGATCTGTTGACATGGTCCCAAGGAGATCAACTTTAATGTTTTTTATGTTGTACTGTATTATAAAAACAGTAAGTGTATGAAATGTTTCTGTAGGAGCTGGCTTCTGACCAGACTGTTCAAGGTGTCCTTCGGCGTCAGTTTGAGTTCAACAAGGATGTTAGGACGCTACAGCAGTTACTGGTGAGTAGTAAGAAAGACAAGTAGGAGGTGTGCAGGGATTAATCTAGACTAGTGGTATGGTTTTCTCCTATCAATAAAAACAAATTTCCTATTAAGAGAATATATCACATGACATGGAAAAATTCCCCAAAATAGGAGAAATTTTCTTCTAAACAGAGAGCTTATTATTAAGCTTTACTTAACAATTTTTTAAATCATACCATCATGAAAAACAGATATGGATTTAACCTCAACATTGTCATATTTTGTTCATGTAATCTTCATGTATTTGATATATTTTTACCCTTTCCCACTTGAATTGGACAAAAGGGCTGTCAAAATTTTTCCCCATTTTTGAAAATCTGCCAAAAATTTCCTCTTTTTTTTCACAAGGGACAGTATTCCCTAAATTGTACCTTAATCCTTAGAGTGTGAAGAATCTGGCTGAAGGAAAGTTTTCTTGGTGAATTCTTGGGGTTTTTGTTGTCCATGAATTATTGAAACTTTTTAAAGAAGGTTTTTAAATGAATGACTTCACACAAATATCAAATCATCTCAGAAAATATCCTATCAGTAGGCCTATCATATATTTTACTAGCTTTGCTGAAACTGATTTCTACTAGTATGTCTATAATCTGAGGGTATGTGATGTGACAACTGTTTCAGATGTCTAGTGTGCATTATATGTGAGTGAGACACATCCATTCCTTGTCCCTGATTACAGATATACCCTGTGTGTTGTGTGAGTGAGACACATCCATTCCTTGTCCCTTATTACAGATATACCCTGTGTGTTGTGTGAGTGAGACACATCCATTCCTTGTCCCTGATTACGGATATACCCTGTGTGTTGTGTGAGACACATCCATTCCTTGTCCCTGATTACAGATATACCATGTGTGTTGTGTGTGAGACATCCATTCCTTGTCCCTGATTACAGATATACCCTGTGTGTTGTGTGAGACACATCCATTCCTTGTCCCTGATTACAGATATACCATGTGTGTTGTGTGTGAGACATCCATTCCTTGTCCCTGATTACAGATATACCATGTGTGTTGTGTGTGAGACATCCATTCCTTGTCCCTGATTACAGATATACCCTGTGTGTTGTGTGAGACACATCCATTCCTTGTCCCTGATTACAGATATACCATGTGTGTTGTGTGTGAGACATCCATTCCTTGTCCCTGATTACAGATATACCCTGTGTGTTGTGTGAGACACATCCATTCCTTGTCCCTGATTACAGATATACCATGTGTGTTGTGTGTGAGACACATCCATTCCTTGTCCCAGATTACAGATATACAATATACTCAGTGTGTTGTTTGAAACTAATCCATTCCTTGCTCTGATTACAGATGTACCCAGTGTGTTGTGTGAGTGAGACACATCCATTCCTTGTTCCTGCTGACTTTGTTGATGGTATGAAGATGCAGACTATGGACACCAAGTCTGCTATGCTACATGGTAAGTTATCTTCTTAATGTTTTTCATTGAGATGTATGATGTTCATTACAAATGTGAATTCCATAGGTTCTCATTATTCCAAGGTGTACCTATTTAGACTGAGAGGAAAAATAAAATGGCTGACAGATGATTGTCTTAAATTTGATGGAATCAAACACACATTAACATTGAGCCATTAGGAAAACTTACTGACCCATTCATGCACTTTGTTAGTTATATTGACTCAATAAGACTCACTGCAGTATTGATTCGAGCCGAAACATTGGCCCATTCAGATACCTTGTAACTTGTGAAATAATTATGACTTTTTATTCTTTTTCTGTAGGTGTTTCAATCCTGGAACTCTGCCTTATCATTGCCATGAAGCACCTGACAGAAATCTATGATGGGGAGCCATTTAATTTTGAAATGGTTTATAGTGGTAGGTATACATTAGACATACTGGGACACACCACAAGTCTGTTCTGTTAATAGCTTTCCTTTGGAATTTCTCCATTTCGTATCTTGAATGATATTTCGGATATAATTTGATGCCCACTTTAATTGAAGTGTACACCATTAGATAATGGCTCTTTGTTCCTGATGGTGATACAATGGATTTCAGTATTTATCTGCGTTACTAATATATAGGATCATAAATTAAGATACTTTTTTTTCTTTTTTTTTCTCGGTGAGATATCAGGGATCATCACTGTAGTGATGACATGAGAAGTCTTACATTGTCACTCATGATGTTATAACTTTTCAGTAATGATATAGCTTTTTTAGTTTTGAGGAATCAAAGCAGTGCCCTCTATTTACTGTATTGAAATTTGCCGATTTTCCTGTTCGGATGCAAATGAAGTGAAGGTTGAATAAGTTGGTTTTTCATCTAATCTATCCTGAATATATTTTGAGTTTTATCTATTCTGGTATAAAATAAAGTTTTGTAATCAATTCTTATCAGATAAAGGTATAAAATGGTAAAATACTACGTAAAACAGCCATTCTAAATGTTGTCATCGTGTTATCAAATGTTACGTCAAACTATCTGATGTCAGCTTTGAACATTGGTTTATTTTATGTTTGTACACTCAATATAGAAGTAACTGTGGCTGTCACTCATATACTAGAGAACTCGGTACTCCGCATGGAAGTAACTGTGGCTGTCACTCATATACTAGAGAACTCTGTACTAGGTATGGAAGTAACTGTGTCTGTCACTCATATACTAGAGAATTCCGTACTCGGTATGGAAGTAACTGTGGCTGTCACTCATATACTGGAGAACTCGGTACTCAGTATGGAAGTAACTGTGGCTGTCACTCATATACTGGAGAACTCGGTACTCAGTATGGAAGTAACTGTGGCTGTCACTCATATACTAGAGAACTTGGTATGGAAGTAACTGTGGCTGTCATTCATATACTAGAGAACTCGGTACACAGTATGGAAGTAACTGTGGCTGTCACTCATATACTAGAGAACTCTGTACTCAGTATGGAAGTAACTTTGGTCGTCACTCATATACTAGAGAACTCGGTACTCGGTATTGAAGTAACTGTGGCTGTCACTCATATACTAGGGAACTCGGTACTCCGCATGGAAGTAACTGTGGCTGTCACTCATATACTAGAGAACTCGGTACTAGGTATGGAAGTAACTGTGGCTGTCATTCATATACTACAGAACTCGGTATTCAGTATGGAAGTAACTGTGGCTGTCACTCATATACTACAGAACTCTGTACTAGGTATGGAAGTAACTGTGTCTGTCACTCATATACTAGAGAACTCCATACTCGGTATGGAAGTAACTGTGGCTGTCACTCATATACTGGAGAACTCGGTACTCAGTATGGGAGTAACTGTGGCTGTCACTCATATACTGGAGAACTCGGTACTCAGTATGGAAGTAACTGTGGCTGTCACTCATATACTAGAGAACTCTGTACTCAGTATGGAAGTAACTGTGGCTGTCACTCATATACTACAGAACTCGGTACTCAGTATGGAAGTAACTGTGGCTGTCACTCATATACTAGAGAACTCGGTACTCGGTAAGGAAGTAACTGTGGCTGTCACTTATATACTAGAGAACTGGATACTCAGTATGGAAGTAACTGTGGCGGTCTCTCATATACTAGAGAACTCCGTACTTGGTATGGAAGTAACTGTGGCGGTCACTCATATACTAGAGAACTCGGTACTCGGTATGGAAGTAACTGTAGCACAGATTGGATTTTGACAGTAATAGTTTGTTATCACTATTTCTTGAGCAGTACTCAATGGATCTATTTCAAATTTTGTATGTAGGATCCCTAGTTGTACATTGTCGAATTTTAGAACGATCTGATAAACTGCAGGCAGTCATCTTCTATTTTGACAATAATGGATTGTTATCGCTATTTCTTGGGAAGAATAAGATGAATCATTCTCGAATTCCATATGTAACTTCCCCTTGGTTTCTATTTGTGCATTATGGCATTTTGGTATTGATTAAAAAAACAAAGTCTCAGACAGGTGGCCATCTTAGATTTTTACTATGAAAGTTTGTTTTCACTCTCTCTTGAGAAGAACTAGTATTTTCTAAGAGGAATTTTCAGTGCTGCCCAAAATCTTCACTTCAACAGGTAGACATCCTTGAGGCAACCATTAAAAGACTTCCATGTGATATCACGTAGATATGGCAATAGTTTAATAAAGGATATAACAATCAATTAATTCTTGATCCTCTGTCATTAATTCCTGATCCTCTGTCAAATTATGGGTAAGGTCTTCTATGCTATTTAATAATTTATCCATCATCATTGCCTGTCATGTCACTTCTCACTAATACCATAACGTAACAACTGTGGCAAGTACAGTGTCATCACAATGACATACTATCAAATTAAGGTCTCTAAACAATGATACCAACAGTAATGAAAATGAAATAATAAACTTACTCTCAGAGACACAAATCTGGAAATATGATTTACAACCAGGTGTTAAATATTATAATCTTTCATTTAAATTCTCAAATTTCTTTTTATTAACTGCTTGAATAATAATCTTAATGCATATATTTAGTGGTATTTTCTCGTTTATGGAGATGTGTATAAACATTTCGTATTTAGGAAAATATACGTAGCAGTCATATTGATTTTACTGTGACTTGCATTTGAAAAATTTGCGTGAAAAAAAAAATGCAAACATTCACACAAATACATGTGAAAAGCTTTGTATTATAGTTATTTCATCGCTAGTTTAAATAATTTTAAGATATTTATTTGTAGCCAATAATTGATTATGGAGTCTGTGAATTGCATTCTTAATCAATGAGTTTTGCCTAATAAATCCTTTTTGAAACATTCTTTTTATACAGAAAATACAAAAATACATGGGTACTGATCTCTTAAATCTGATTCTCATCCTTGGATAATGTATATTTTATAACAATGTACTGTTTGTGATTTCCAAGCTCCAGTTTTTTCAGTTCTTAACTTAAAATAAAAAAGAAAACTGCCTTCACGTCTAGTCATGTTTATTTCTAGTACATTGCACTATATCACACGAAAGTAGTGTCACAACTAACTTTACTAAAACTTAGGATAGAGTGTCACTGAAAATATATGGCTAGATGTTGGCGACACTGAACAGACTGTCCCTCCAAGCAGATCTTTATTTCCTTCATATTATGTCACTTTACTTGTTTCTATAGTTATGATTCATAGTCATTCTTTGCTGTTAACTTTTGACCTTTAGTGAATTCATACCTGACCACAGTTTAAAGAGCAACAAGTTCACCTATCAATATTGGTTGCCATTGAAGGCATGCGTGTCTCACTAACAGATCTAATAATGCTAATTAAAAATGTGCTGCTTTAATAGTTTAAATACAAAAAAAAGTGTTTGATCAGTAAACACAAGTCATTGTTTTATAACTGCCTCTAATAGATCTATTGATCATAGCAGCTTCCTGACGAAAAAGTTCAACCTAGCTCAAAAAGTTACACATACAAATTCTCGGTTATTATACCTAACACTGTATACCGGCACATTTATATACACTTCCAATATGCTATGTCACTTCCTTAGTTATAACTGTAAGTACACATAACCTCTGTGCATAAACCATTCCTGTTTAAAATTCTACGTTCAATTCACTGTTGCTGGTATGTACTTTTAAAGGTACACATTTGTCATTGCTCACGTATTGATTTCAGAATACAGAAAATTTGCCCAGAGGCGATCATCCATGCAAGTTTATGAAAAAGCTGTAGTGTTGAAGGTAATTATTGTTAGTGTATTCAAGTGGTGTTTTCACTGTTTAGATGTTGTACAAATTTATAGGTAGCCTTCGGGGAAATATCTAAATTTGGCGAAACTCTGCATAATGGATAGATAACTTATAGATAAAAAAGAGTAAATGTTTGGGTTGAAAACGTAACCAAGAATTAAGATATATGTATGAACGGTTTGTCAAATACATTTATTTCCAATTCCAACAACTTTGGTTTAATTTTGCGTTTTGCTCCATCGTCATCATCAAGATCATCATCATCATCATCAAGATCGTCATCGAACATCTTTAGTTGGATTAAGTTAGCTCAATTCAGATTGTTTTTCTCCCATTTTTCAGGCATTTGAACACCTAATTGCTCTGGAGTTGGTGAAGACAATGGACGGAGCTGGATCTCGGGTACAGAAGGAGTATCGCCTGCTTTCACTGCTCGTTCATCCGTCACAGATCTTGGATGCTCTGCAGAAATACCCAAACTGTCCTACAGAGGTCAAACAGTGGGCTCAGTCTTCAGTCATATAGCTAAGTGCGTGTAACTATTTTTGGTTTCATACTTGAGACCTTCTCAGTCATTTACCAAGAAAATATGGCAGAAAAGTGATCTTTTCAAGTTGCACACCAAAGGGCAAATGACATGGCAAGCAGGCTTGTAATCCAAGAGACCTGATGGTCAAGGAACTCTGTAAAGTTCATCTGACTAAATGTTGGTGACAGTGAATTCTAGCAACATACTAAGAATGTGATTGACAGTAAAGGCCCCTGTCAAAAACATGCTGTTTTGTTGAATTGTCACACCTAAGGGCAGATGTGCAGGTATTCTGCAAAAACATTCACTTTTGTTTGAAGTTTATTTTTTGTTGGGTTTGCCAGTTCTCTGAAACTACAGATTAATTAGTCCATGAAACTGTTTCCTATTGAAATGTTACATTAATTTTCAGTATTATCAAATTTCATGGGAACCACATAACCAAGTCCCAACCAAAAAGCATTTCTAAAAAACCAAGAAATTGGAGCTACACAAATATTGTAATAGGGAAAAAATATGACGTCACATGAGATAATATGTCATGTAATGCTGATTATTATTGTGTTGTCATGTATTATTGACCAGATAGGAGATTCATGACCTTGATCTGATGAACTCTTGAGTTGAAGCTGAAGAGAATGATGTTGATTGTTTTGACAGTTCAATTACTCTACTCAATATGTCGAAATTGAACAGCAAATACAACTGTTATATTGTTGTTTGGCTATGAGTCAGAACACAAGAATCTCTTGTTTAAGAATGAAGTTGATACTTCAGAATTAAAGATGTTAATAATTGAACACAATCTCTGTCTTTGATTTATTTTTAATTCATCATTATGATATGGCAAGTTGCTTGAATTTCCTTTGATCCATTGTCTGTTGCCCATCATTCTTAAACAATCTTTGGTATTATTGTCCAGAAGGCAGCAAAAGATCTTTCTGACAATTCATAATTTTTATACCTGGTCTGTAGTTGTGCATTTCATGATGATGTCTAAACCAAAACCAAGATGGTGGACACGTAGCCATCTTTGTTTTGAGATTTTGAATTGATAATGTTATTTCTCATGAAGCATGGCAGTGATTATTATGTATTTTTAATAAAACACAAACTCTCCATAGTCCTTACATAATTTTACTGGTAATAAATAACAAGTCAATGTCATGTAACATTATTAATAATTCTTAAGAATGGTTGATGATGCAGAGGCGAGACCTCCAATAGTAAGTGCTCCATACTTAAACAAGTTCATACAAATGTTCAAGATGGCCGCCATCTTCCAAATTCAATCACCTTATTGCTTCTTTTTAACAAAAGTCACTAATGAAGCTCTTGTGTGTAATGTATATTCCACAGATTCAATTATTGATATTGATAATTTGAAAATTTTCATAATTTTCTAATAGTTAAGAAAGAGGGTGGATTGCTCAAAATGAAGTACACTCATATGATCAAAATGTGACGTTGATTGGCTTTCCTGGATAAAAGTGTCAAATGATCAAAGAATTACTTAATCTGAATCACCAAGAAACCAAGGTTCATTGTTATTTGTTAGTAACATGCTGATTGGAGAGATATAAAGTCTGGTCAATTTCAGGGTCAAGGGGTCAAATATATTTAAAATACTGCACCATTCGCTGCACCAACAACAGGTGTGGGATTAATGCAATTACAGCAACCACCCCTAGAATCGCATCATTATACTGTGCCACCCATTGGATTCGCACCATTACATAGCACCACCTGTCCGAGTTGCACTATTACACTGCACCACCCATCAGAGTCATACTTTTACACTACATCACCTGTGGGAGTCTCTCCAACAACCTATGGGAGTCGCACCATTATTCTGCACTCGTGGGAGTCACGTCATTACATTGCACCACCTTTGAGAGCCACACCATTACCCTGCACCACCCATGGGAGTTACACCTTTACACTGTACCACCACTTGGAGTAACACATTCCACTGCACCATTACTGGGAATTGCACCATTACACTGCACCAACCTTGGGAGTCCCATCATTACACTTCACCACCTTTGGGAGACACGTACCTCTTGAGATTCGCACCATGACAGCCCATCACGTGTAGTCCGACACCACTCCCGATATCAAGGGAGGTCAGAAGTCACACTTCACTGTTTCCTTAGGCGATCCTTTTACAATAGACTGTTGAATTCAGGTATTCACAGGCTATAACCTATTCTCAGAAGCATATACAAAGAACAATACATGTTACAAGGGTGTTGTAGAATGAACACTGTGGCAGTGTATCTCGGTAAGACTGTCTCGTTGTGTAGAATTTCGTGACCTTGTGTTGTTTTCTGTTCCTATGTGGTTTAATTTAACAACATGATTCTGTGTTCCTACATGATTTGATGGCATTTCTTCAGTTTTCCTTTTCTTTCCTTGACTTCGCGCCTTGTAGAATTTCCTGCCACGGAAGTGACACAGGATTCGGAAGAGTGCTGTGACGATGACTAGTAGGAAAAGTGTGACCAGGATAAGGCTGAATAGGAAGGCCTCTAGCTACAAAAGTGTGTGTACAATAACGTTTTAGAGCATTCAAACAAAGAGATAGTCAAGGTCATACAACATCGACAAGGTCAAATGGTAACATAATAGCAGAAAGTACAGAAAAATGGAAGTACGTCCCATGAAAAAATAAGATGAAAATGATATATTACAGCATTAAGTCGCAGTAAACTATAAATTATTACAAGTATGACAAGCTGGTATTAAATACTATAAGCTATGGATTGGTGTCAATTTTAGAAAGTTGATCTGACTGAGGACCAATGTTATTGGAGTATGGGTACCTGACTGAGGACCAGTGCTGTTGGAGTAGGGGTACCTGACTGAGGACCAGTGCTGTTGGAGTAGGGGTACCTGACTGAGAACCAGTGCTGTTGGAGTAGGGGAACCTGATTGAGGACCAGTGCTGTTGAATTAGGGTATCTGATTCAGGACCAGTGCTGTTGGAGTAGGGGTACCTGACTGAGGACCAGTGTTGTTGGAGTAGGGGTACCTGACTGAGGACCAGTGCTGTTGGAGTAGGGGTACCTGACTGAGGACCAGTGCTGTTGGAGTAGGGGTACCTGACTGAGGACCAGTATTGTTGGAGTAGGGGTACCTGACAGAGGACCAGTGCTGTTGGAGTAGGGGTACCTGACTGAGGACCAGTGCTGTTGGAGTAGGGGTACCTGACTGAGGACCAGTGCTGTTGGAGTAGGGGTACCTGACTGAGGACCAGTGCTGTTGGAGTAGGGGTACCTGACTGAGGACCAGTGCTGTTGGAGTAGGGGTACCTGACAGAGGACCAGTGCTGTTGGAGTAGGGGTACCTGACAGAGGACCAGTGCTGTTGGAGTAGAGGTACCTGATTGAGGACCAGTGTTGCTGGAGTAGGGGTACCTGACTGAGGACTAGTGCTGTTGGTGTAGGGGTACCTGACTGAGGACTAGTGCTGTTGGAGTAGGAGTACCTGACTGAGGACTAGTGCTGTTGGAGTAGGGGTACCTGACTGAGGACTAGTGCTGTTGGAGTAGGAGTACCTGACTGAGGACTAGTGCTGTTGGAGTAGGGGTACCTGACTGAGGACTAGTGCTGTTGGAGTAGGGGTACCTGACTGAGGACTAGTGCTGTTGGAGTAGGAGTACCTGACTGAGGACTAGTGCTGTTGGAGTAGGGGTACCTGACTGAGGACTAGTGCTGTTGGAGTAGGAGTACCTGACTGAGGACTAGTGCTGTTGGAGTAGGAGTACCTGACTGAGGACTAGTGCTGTTGGAGTAGGGGTACCTGACTGAGGACCAGTGCTGTTGGAGTAGGAGTACCTGACTGAGGACTAGTGCTGTTGGATTAGGGGTACCTGACTGAGGACCAGTATTGTTGGAGTAGGGGTACCTGATTGGGTTTTCGTGTTTATTGTAGAGAGGTGTATTGTTCTGACTAGGGACTTGAAAAACGGTTGCTTACATTAAGGGTTTTGAAGTTGTTCAACCAGCCTTCAAACATCACTGGTCCCTAGTCAGGTTGACATACCACACCCTAACCTCAGAGAAATCTGATCACGCACATCTTCAACAATCGTCACCAATACTGTTAACACTACCCATCCAACATCATAGGTCTCAAGACAGATTAATGTCATTCTTTTATTTTGCAAAACTTAATTAGGACAACCTTCCAATCTCGGTTACCTGAATTAAATAAGTCGTATGTTCGGTTAATCAAAATTACGTTCTGTCTCATTAACGACTCGGGATCTAGTAATACAGCCAACTTACCTGGGACGATGATAATCCCCACTGTTCTTCGGCTGAAAATAAATCAAAATTACGTACAAGGTTTACCCATGGATGTACTTATTCAATGTAATTACTACTTATTGAAGATAAAGGTCTTGTTTCCTTATTGTCAATGGTTTTAAACTGTACTTATGTAACTATAATGACCGAACTTCAATACAGGAAGATGGTACGGAATTTTAAATGCATTATGCGAAACATAATTTCCAAACAGAACTAAAAACGATATACAAAACGTCCACAGTTTATTTCCACTTTGTGTGTCGGTTGACATAAAGCAGTTGTAATTGCATTTGGAATTTCAACAACACATTCCGTATAAACTTATTGACGCATTTCGCATTTAGCAAATTTTATTTACCGCTAGAGACATGTAACGAAATCAGGTAAACAGGTTTGATGCATATGGTGCAACACTGTCCGGAAGCTATTTATTGTTCAAGGTAAATAATGTATCGACCTGTCACGGTCATAAGCATACTACAGATGACCTACTACATCAAATTTCTGCAAACTTGCAATACCTTTCGACGGAAACGACGGCGATTTGACAACATAATACAAAACAAAAAGTTTTAAAAAGATTGATGTGTGCATTAGTGTCGTGACCATGTTTCATAAATCTTTGCGTCAACACATCAAAGGACATTATTAATATGGCATGTTTACCGTAACTTGTAACGCATGTGTTATGCGGCACATCTATGTCCCGGTTTCTGTCCTCATTTTTTCCCGATGCATTCTTAACACCTAGTAGAGGTAAGAGCTCGAACCAAAGTAATTCCAGTCGGTGGAATGGCCAGGAACTGGCATCACCTGTTGCTAGGTTACCGTTTCTGATCGACAGGTAGTTCTTGGACATCGGCGTGTATGGCCTCCACACGATTCGATCGTCAGAGAAGGTCGGATAACTGCCAACAACAATTTCAGACCATTCATATTTTTCTTTCTCGATATCCAAAGTTTACATTTTACACAATTATCTGGAAACCTTTGAAAGTGTAGCTCCATTTCGTCTCTGAAATAACATTTTCTCAATTGCAACCATAATAATAATAATAATCACAGTAGATAAAACACCGCCTACATAATGATGAAAAAACATGTATTAATAATCCATTTACGAATACATTAGGGTAAGACGATGTCGCCCATCAATCATTGTCATGAATATTTACAGCTTGTATAATTATCATCTTAACGCCATTTTTCAATGAATACTCGCCCAAATCTGACAACACTTTTCCTTATCTCACTAATTAAAGAAAGTACTGTAAACGTTGTTACAGATGGGTCTTTTTAAAACAATTTCTCAGGATGACTGTGCTTCCCAGTGAATATTGAAAACCATCGTCCATTTCTTGACTTATGTTAGAAATACAACTGTTTGAAGAAATCATGAAAAATTGATGAAGAATGAAGAAAAACAAATCCTTCATAATTTTCAACAATTCAATATTGAAACGTCATCACGGAGACGAAAAACGAGTGAACGTAACCCGTACTCCTTAACACTTATTATATCGTTCATTGAAACGTCGTCATGGAGACGGAAAACCCTGTAAACTTTATCCAATAGTCTTCAACACTTACTATATCGTACATCGAAACGTCGCCAAGGAGACGAAATACCTATAAACTTCATCACCGTACTTAACAATTATACCGTACATCGAAACGTCACCAAGGAGACGAAATCTCTGTAAACTCCACCCCGTACTCCTCAACAATTATAATACCAGGGGCGGATTTAGAGGGGGGCGTGGGGGGCGCACGCCCCCCCTAAAATTGGCAGAGTAAGGGTGAGTTACGAAGTATACTGGATGGTCTTGGTCGTATGTTATGACTATCACTGTTCTAAACAGCTATAGATGACTTAAGTTGGGCTAATTTTCAAGTATACAGTAACTTTATTATAGTTGATCACATAACGACAGAAAGAGTTAATTAAGTTAATTATAACGCCCCCCCTAACTTAAATTCCTGTATCCGCCCCTGAATACCTTACATTGAAACGTCGCCACGGAGACGAAATCTCTGTAAACTCCACCCGTACTCCTCAACAATTATAATACCTTACACTGAAACGCCGCCACGGAGACGAAAAATAAGTAACCAGCTAACAAGATTGCTGTCTATATTCAATAATAATTCTAATGAGTATTTCACAATACTTACCAATATTTCACGACATTACCCACGTACCTATATGTCACAATACTTAACTACTTTCTTATATTTCACAACATTAACCCACTTGCCCATCTTTCACAATACTTACCCATATCTGAGAAACTCCGCCAAAGCGTGACTGACGGACTGAACATTTGTGCTGCAGTTCGTCAAAACACACAATAAAGTAGTGGCCAAACTCCTGTCTTTGGAATCAGAACGTTCTGAGCTGATCAACAGGGTCAAGCCCTTCGTGTAATATGAGTTTGTAAAAGAAAGAATACTGGACCAGAGGTAATCGGTTAACAAACCGGAACAGTTTGATTGTTCCGAGTAGTAGAAAGCTTTCAGAGTTTTCAGCAATATCTGTTTTGACCTCTCATCTGTTTTTCTTGTTAATATTTCCACTACGTTCCGACTCAGGTCGTCAAAATCTGCCGCATCACAGTCCATCAGATGGCTGTCTCTTTGGTTAAAAAATGGTATGTCAGTGATGATCAGATCTGCTATGTTCACAGAAGAAATATGTACACCCGAAATAGTCCCATAAGCTATATCTGGGAAATTGTGATCATGCACGGGCCAAAATAAAAGAAGTTCTTGGCGTCGTGCGTAATTCGTTGACGAATTCAGAAGGAACGATGCATCAAGCTGCAGTAAGCACTTCTGTAATGGGAGGCCAATCGATCTACAGCGCTGTCGTATGTGATTGGACTCAAAGAATATATTTGTTTTATTGGTGTTTCCGAACTCCACGCCACTATTGTACGTTATAACCTTTTCATACAAACCACTAAACTTACTCGAGATGTGTCTTAAAGACGTAAAATAATCACATATTAACACAACGTTTTTCGGATTTCCATTGAAATGTGCGATGTTCTGTTTCACCCACTGTAACACCGCCACCTGATCCATTAGGCCCGCGTTACCCGGGTAATGTCCACTCAATGACAGAAACCCGAATATCCCGAGACGGAAGTTAAACGTCACTACAATCACGTGGTTAGAGACAGAAATGGATTTCCCATCGATCATTCCACCAGAACCTTCCTGAAAGTTACCTGGATGAACAATCACAACTACCGGAAGTTGGTAGTTGTTTGTGGTATTAATATTGTCGGGTACATAAATATTAAGAAATAAACAGTTTTCGCTCATTTTCAACAACTCAAGCTCGTCACTCTCTATGCTCTGCATACAATTTGGACCAAACGTTGTCGCATTGTGTATGTCAGTCCATTTTACAGCAACATCCGGTTTCTGAAATCGCAAATTGCCTAATGGTGCTTTCGCGTACGGCACACCTAAAAATGCCATCACTTGACCTTGTGACACTGGAAGTTGTACGCCCGACAAAAGTCCCCCGCTAACACGAATGACGGAATTAGAGGTCACGTGATGGATATAAACCATTCCGAGGTAAAGGAGTTTCCACATAACTAGCAATGCGACAGTCTCAAACAGCTCATGCAACACCTTCCCTCACCTCAGAGGTTTGCATGTCTCCTCTACAAAAATTATATCAACGTTCTCACAACTGAACATTAGGAAATATGCTTCACAAACCTCTGACATGAAAATGCGCCGAAATCTTATGGTATGCTTACTATTCCTCCAACCAAAGTCTTACGGTTGAACGGAAGGCGAACAATCATGGTAATTTGGATCGTGATCGTCAGAGACATCCTAATCTGTCATACCTCACGAGCTGCGTGTACTCGTGTGAGCATGACGACATAAAACATGGTCGCTTGTCCTGAACCCGTCTGTAAAGAGGAAGAAGGTTTGAACCCTTCAGTAAGCCGAATTAAGTTTTACAAGTATCCGGACATGGTTTTTGATACATATTATCCATTGCGTGTAAAGAGCACACCTCAAGCTGTTTAATTCTCTTCTAGTTGGTCATTCCTTTACATAATTGGTATCTTGTTTCGTAGGTTGATACATGAACAACGTGGTTTTGGAGGCGAGGTGCCTGTAACATAATAGTTTTTCACTCGTGATAGAAAATCAAAACTGTGCCATTGAACTGTCCTTTACAACTTAAAATATCTGAAGGCATACTTCAGGCATACACACAGAGAAGAAGTCTGCATTGCATTGATGTTCGTATCAATTCGATGTCGTCTGTATGATATTGTGACGTCATTTACGCCCGCGACATTGTATTATGTCACATCTCACGAATATATCTGTGACGTCATTCATTCTGTATTAATGACAAATTTACGTAGTAGGGATATTTAGCTATTTCATGTAAATTTGTTAAGTTCCTCGTTTGCTGTCGTGGACGATATGGAGCTGATACGAAACCATTTAGCCATCCTTGTCGTTTAGTCTGAAACAAAGCAAAAATATTGTAATATCATTGAAAGGTTTAAGTACCCTGCAAAATAAAGTAGCGATAAATTTTATACTGAAGATGGATTTGACGTCGATATGGAGACCATGGTAAACTTCGATAAGAAACAAAAGGAATTCTGTACCACATTAGGACGGTCAGAAATACCAACAGACATAATTTTCAACGATGATAAGTAGAATGTTCCTGTTTATTTGACGAATAGCATTTTCATTGAAACCAGGGGCCTTTGAACAGAACCCGGTAGAAATTTCTCATTGCAAAGTCTTGGCTTCATATATAAATGACCGTAGATGGCTCACTGTCTGACGTTTCAGTGATGTCGTTGATGCTGTGAACAATATAGCTCGTTCTAAGCTGACAGGACGTCAATGTCAGTAGTTAGTCGAGTAAGGTGACTGCTATCTATAAAGGTCAGGGCGAGGTATAAATTAATAATGATAATGATGAAAACATCACACATATATCAGAATTATGTAGATAAGTATAATACACGTCTTATTAATATTCACAACGCCTGCCTGATATCGGTCAAATCAACATTTTCAACAGAAGTGTGAATATATGTAAATCATACATCGATAAGTTAATGCTTTATTTGAGCTCGCATCGTTGTAGACAAAAATTAGCAACCTGGATTTATATAAATTGATAAAATTACCTAAAACGGGATCATATTAAGGTTGTGTTATCTACCATGAATAGGCGTGTTTTTTAACTCCACTTGAATCAAATTCGTAATTCCTATCTCAGCACGGAAACAATACCAATAAACGTGATACATTCTTTAAATAGGTATCCGACATCTTCTTGTCTCTGGTAATGACACATTATCTAAAGGTCGTGTATATAATAAGGTCACATGAAGATTAATATCTCTTTTACTATCAGATTCGGCCTGTAATCATGACGGTTGTGGCGACGAGGCGAAACCACAAAAGGAATCCCAATAAAGTGTCTCTGAAACATATATCTTAACACTACAGATACATGTAAATTCATTGACTTTACAAATGATAGATGTCCCTTTGTAACCGTTGATATTTAGTGTTTACAACCTTCCAGGCCTGTTTATAACAATATAGAAATCACACTTGATTAAGGCTTGGGGACATTAATTACGTTTTAGAACGGGGTTAGATTAATGTTCCCGGTTATACTTATAGCGGACTGAGTAAATCCGTCCATCCGTCTCGCCGTTTCACCATAGTTGCTTGGGTTTCATAGACAAGCAGAAAAAAAATTCCAGCTAGAACCTGAGCTCGGGGTTCTGGTATCTTTAATCATTATTATTTTTTGTTCATTTTTTTCTGTCAAATATTTTTGTAAGGACCGTCTTCGTAGACGCAGAATTCAATGCGAAGGTCATAAACTATACTTTTTCCACCTTCAAACATTTGCATGTGACACCCTCTCTTTTACGACTTCGATGTCACGTTCACGATTTAAAGAATATCAGCTTGGTTGTATTTGCTTCCAGATCAATATCCTGTAAAAGAAATTCCTATTATCAGTGACAAACTTTCTACAGAGATGGATGGGAGTACCAAGTAACTTAAGCAGCATCGGCTTTTATGGAAAAGGTACAAAGTTGAATATTCCGCTGAAATGTCTTACAGAGGATTATAAGGTGACCAAGGTCAGGCAACTTCTCTTACTGCAGAACAGCAAAGGATGCAAAGGTGAAGGTTGAGACCGTAAGGAATTGGTAATCTGAAACAGGGACATCGTGTGAAGTAAAACAGTCGGCAGGCAAGGACTGGGAACATCGACAGGGCAAATGTGGTTTAAGGCAGGAACAGAACAACGGAGAGAGTTGGTGCAGAACGAAGTGAAGGCAATGGAAGAGGAACAGAGTATGGTAAAGACGATATGCATGAAGAAACAGGGGTGCTGGCTAAACTGGCAGGGGGTTCGAGAGAGGAATTTCTCATGGGGTAACAACTGGACCATGGAAGAACATCACACCAGATTTCTTCTGAGATCTGTGTATGATGTGTTGTCAAACCCAACGAACCTTTGTTGATGGGGTCTTGGTGAAGATCTGAGGTGTGTCTTGTGCTAGAGAGTAGCGAACATGGAACAGATCTTATCATGCTGTCCAGTGGCTCTGAGGGATTAGCGGTACCGTCTTAACAAAGTGCTTTCCTAACTTGCAGTAACAATGGAAGTGCGTAGGAAGAAATCAGAAAAGATAACAAAAGGGCCCAAAGTTGTCAATTTCATTCGAGCAGGTGAAATTGGAAAGGGAAAAGGGAAGAGTCGAGGGAACAGGGATCAAGGCAACAACGGGACACTGGCAGATGAAGGCAGAACTGATCGGTAGAAAGAAATCCCCAGAGGAAATCATCACCACAAACCAGACACCAGACGTAGTACTCTGGTCTTCAACATCCAAACAGGTCATTGTGGAACTGACAGTACCACGGAAAGACGTATGAATGAAGCATACTAGAGGAAGAAGGCAAACCATTAGGATCTGGTGGATTATTGTCAACAGAATGGTTGGAGGGTATGGTCTTTCCATCTGGAGGTTGGTTGTAGAGGATTTGCAGGTTAGTGTTCGTGGAGGACCATGAGGAATATAGGTGTCATCGAGAAAGACAGGAAGCATTAGATTGGTGCAGTATGCCAGCAAGCAGTCAGCATCAATGTGGAGAGAGCGGATAGAATCGTGGCATCAAAGAAGGGTTATGTGGCTGTTCAGATTCGCCCCATTATATAGACTTTGTGATTTGGAGTAAAGTATGTGACATTTATATAGTGATAACAATATCAATCACATGAAAACTGTGACATCAACACTGGTATATTGTGGAACAGGCTAGACGGTTTTAGGCTAAGATTTAATCACCCTAGGGGCACATCTGGAGGGTATAGTGGACAGCGCCGAAACAACCCAGGATAGAGAATCCGGGAAGATGGAACCGCCTGGCATCAGTAACATCAACATGTATGATGGATTTGTACTTAAAGTAACCGTGCGACTAAGAACGCGTGTTAAAGGTAAAATAATAATCAATGTTTTTTTTTCGTTCTTCCATTTGAAAACACATAATATTCCACATGTACTGGAAAATTGTTGGAGATATATCAGTACCTAATGCCTTTTAAGTGATATGATACTTAACTTACAATGGAAGTAAGTTAGGATACAAAATCATTATTGTTGAAAACTAAAATGAGAGGTTTATGTTCAGTCCCACAAACTAGTTTCTATAACAGGGGTCATCTGTCATCTCAAATACATATTTATTTATAATTCTGTATATGTAATATTCCATTGATTATACGGGAATGAGAAATATGTACTTTACAAGTATCTTAAATCCATATATTCATGTCTTTTTAATGAAATGTAAACTGTCTATTGTGTCATTCTGAATGAAGATGATTGATACATCTATTCCTGACTGGTGAGTAATGCCCGACTGACTTTAAGTCCAGGACCAAGGTTAAATAGTTCAATGTTTCGTTTACACTTCCGTAGTACTAACTTTGATAAGTCGTAAGAGTACAGCAATGTCGGGGACAATATAATGGGCATTATTTTACAGGTTTGAAAATGCACATCAAAATCACGTGTTGTTTCTTCTTTTGATATTTGAAAGCTTGAACGGTGCATTATAAAAACCCAAATATGACCGTTTTCTGTTTTTTAGTCTGTCGTGGTTTAAGAGATGGTTCGGTGACTGCATAATGCAGAATTTACAAAGTAAAGGCGTTACATCTGACGACCGTGTCTACAGAACACAATCTATTACCAGGTATGTAATAGATTGTTCAGACGCTCGTTTTATTATCAATCTAAGCATATAATATGGAGTTGTTTACTCCGCAATGATGGAGTGTCGGACACACATGGCTAATGATGTGTAAACAAGTAAACTAACAATGATATCCTATCCTGTGTTTATAGATTTCGTGATGTTGTCAATGATAACACTTATTTTAGGTATCGTGGCATTTTAAAGGATGGTCACGTGTCTATAAGTATATAATCGTGGTATTGTAAATGATAATCACGTGTCTGTAAGTATATAATCGTGATATTGTAAATGATAATCACGTGTCT